GAAATATCAATAATGTTTTTAAAATACTTATCTTAATTAATCAGACCTGGGTTGACCAATGGTTCCTTCAGCCCATCCACCATCATTTTTTGTTTTAGAAGGTGGAAGGAAGCCTTCATTTGATCTTGGACTATCGACTGATCCATCTATAGTACTTATTGCAGTTTCATTATCAGTTTGAGGTGTATATGATAAACCAGCTCTTCGACCTTTCTTAGGTATCTGATGAATAGATATATGTGCGAAAGATTAAAACAATAGATTCTGAATATGACCAACAAACCAGTCATTTTTGGTCATATAGACTGGATAAAAGAACCAACGTTCCAATTATTTAAGTTTGCTAAGCATTTTAAAATTAACTTAAGCTTAAATTATTGTCTTGAGGCTATCTTGTAGCTTCCGAGCCACATGAGCCTCAACGTTCGTAAGCAAAAATCATTAATAACCTCCCAAATTTTTGATAGAGGTAAAAACTTTAGAAATATAAATATATATATATATATATATATATATATAATACTTACTTTTCGACTCAAATTAATATCCAAATCATCACCAGAAATATCCATCTTGTACAACTTTTGCTTTCTATCTTTGTTTTGTTATGATGCATATTTCCATGGCAACATCAACATCGTGTATTTGTCGAAACATATCGATATATTATACATGTGCAGTATTATTTTAATTGATAATTATTGATGATTATAAATTAAAACTAGGTGTAAGTGGTATTTTGCTTTAAGGCAAGTTGCATAAACTTTCAGAAAAGTGTAAAAAATCCACTTAATAATAAGAAATTTTATGGGCGATTTATAAGTATACCAGGTTGTTGAAGGCATTATATGAGAAACTATTGCAAATTATCAAACACTTTCGACAAATTGTTTAAATATTACATTAAATATTATAATAACGCGTCTAATACATACCCTGAGTTTTTTTACGCGTGGTCCATTCTACAATTTTTAATTAGTGTATGTAATTAAATAACTTGTTCTACGTCTACAATATTTTAGTATGTTCTTCAAGACTAGGAACTCTATCACCATACAAAAGTTGTGTTATAATTTTAATAATCCAACAAAAAACGATGGGACCGATCTTTGCCAAAAACAAATCAGCACTATTTATAAATAATATATTTCGAATAATTTTTGAATTTTTTAAATCTAATCACTTTTTCATAAATTTCAATACCATTATGAGCAATTACACTATTTATATTTTATATATTCTAATATTTTAATTCAAAACATAGCTAACATTTGTATGATACACAAAATGCATAGTAGATGAAAAATCTAAGTGAGATTATATATTTTTTACTCAATTTTCGATATGAATGCCATACAATTATTGTCAATATTATATTTTTTTCATAGTAAAAAGTGCATAAAAACGTTATCGTTTAAATTTGCCGCATTTTCTTTAAGTTTTATTATTTTCAATTCGTAAAGTTGCCGGCTTGTAATTGCTGTATCATATATGAAGATGGCTCTCGTCGCCATCTTCTTTCTTTTGCAAAGAGTTTCTACATGAGTGCAGTTCATTTCTAGAACGAAATAAAATTTAGCCAAGTGAATTTTCTTTTAACCTTTTAATAAATTTTTGTGTACGTTAAGAATGGCAAGGCTGCGATCTGATTTGAATTTTGGCTACATCTACTTTAAATATCGGTATGATAAACTATATATATATTTATTTTTACACATTTTTTAAAACACGTGTTGTGTTTGAGCACTTTTGCCCTAGGTCATATTTCTATAAATCTGTACGTGATGACTATTTTTACTACCACACCAAGATCTCTGAAAGTTGTGATGATAAAAATATCTGAAGCTCGAATTAACTAATTAATTTTCGTTATTCCAAGGAACGTGTAATTAATTTGTATTTTCTCTTATAGGCAAAAATGTCTGCCCATGCATTGTGGATGATTGTTCATAACTAAGATTTCTTGAAGAAGAAGCATATCAACAAGACTTACTCCTTCTGCCACGATGGTTTTGTCTACAAGACCACTGTTGGTTGGTTGTTCGAATGAGTCTTCACAGTTACTTATGAGAAATCAAAATGCTAGGTAAACATAAATGAATGCATATATCATATTTTTATAATAAAGTATAGATTAAATTATCTAAAGTTCTAAAATACATAACAAATGATGTTTTGAAAATCTGGAGCCTTCAGTGAAGAATCATATTCACCACCCATCATGCCTGATGTTTATTGATAGATTTTAAATTTATTTATATAGTTGGAGAAATTCTAATATTCTAATTGTTTTTACAGCATCGTCCAGCAAAGAAGACCTTTTAGCATACAATGAAGGCAGGTTCAAGGCCTGCTCTTCATTTATTTCTTGATATTCTCAACGCTAATGGGTACCGCAGTATCTTAATTAAAGTAAGTACATTATCTTAACTAATTTTAATTATTTTGAGTTTACCAAATGATGTTTGATATATCTGGAGCCTTCTGTGAAGAATTATATTCACCACCCATCTTTCCTGATGGTATCTTTTAATAAAATTCATCAAATAATTATCCATACACATTGTATATAATAAAATTATGTTTGTAGGTTGATTTGAGAAGACTTAGTGCTGCTTTGAAGTCACAAAAAACAATGCGTGAAAAGAAAGCATTTGCAAAATTCAAACAAATTGTATATTTGCAAATAAATTCATAGAAATCCTGTGGTTTTGTCCACAAGAAGACGGTTGATATTGTTGCAGTAGACAACAGAGGCTTCATAGTTGCTCACAAGAAACCAAAATGCTAGGTAAACATAACTGAATACAGTACGTATAATAATCTATTTTAATTCCGAACAAATGTTTTTGAAAATCTGGAGCCTTCAGTGAAGAATCATATTCACCACCCATCTTGCCTGATGTTTTTTTTATAAATTTAAATTTTTTTTTAAGAAGTTAAGGAAATACTAATATTCCAATTGTTCTTGCAATATCGACCAGCAAAGAGAACCTGTACAATATGAACAATGGAAGCAGGTCCAAAATGCTATTTTCAACCTCAGCATCCTAATTAAAGTGAGTACATCATTTTGATTAATTTTAATTATTTTAAGTCTACCATATGATGTTTGAAATATCTGGAGCCTTCTGTGAAGAATTATATTCACCACCCATCTTTCCTGATGGTTATCCTTTAATAAAAGAATGAAATGCATGTTTATGCACATTTATAATAAAATTATTTTTTTAGGTTGCTTTGAGAAGAGCTACTAGTGCTGTTTTAAGGTCTCAAAATCCTATGCCTGAAAAGAAAGCATTCAAGAAATTGGAATAAGTTGTAAATTTGCAAATAAATTCATAAAATACTTAAAAAAAAAATTTCATGAAAATGGCAAATGTCTCTGATGAAATTGAAAATTTCTGTGTCAGTTGATATATGCTTATGATGCAATTACAATTTAAATGTATGACTGTAATAAATATTGTTAAAGAATATTCAGAGCAAATATATTATTCAAATGCAATTCTAAACACTTTTTACAGATTTGTTTCATATAATCTGCTCCAGTCTATAATATGTGATCCTTTTATTGCTAATACTAAACATTTTGTTCAAGTATTTTATCCTCATATTGATAAGTCAATTCATAGCTCAAATAAAAATGTTTTTCTAGTATTCTATTGTTTAATAAAAAATATCTGCTGGCTGTTATGTGTTTACTAAGCATTATCAACAATCAACAAGTATTGTTTCTAATATTTTTACAAATATTAGGTTGTGAGTTTGACATCTATATAAATCAGAATTTCATAAATGTGATAAAAAATTTGTAAATACATACATATTTCATGCTAGGTGGTGAACATAACTGATTGCAAGATATTATTGCGCTGAAAAAATAAAATTCAACTTTGCATTATTTCTCCCAATCAAAAAATTGTATTAAAAGCTAATCAGTATTTGATATTACCATAAGTTTTGATTTGTTACAGTGAAAAAAATAGTTCATGTCCAAGTATAATGTTTATATAAAAATAATATAAATATTAAATTTAACAAACAGCAATTTGTTCATGTTTTTGTTCTTGAATACAAGTAAAATGTAAATAATTGTAGTAAGCGATGGGAGCTATGTGAGTTATAGATCATTAGATATAAACTCATTTTTGATTTTGTCATTCTTCCTCTATAGCAATATTTAACTTCCAATAAGGGTAAGTTATAGTAATCGCCAAAAAAATCTATAACAAAAATGTTTGCAAGATCCTCTGAACATTTTAGCATACCCTAGAAAAAATTGATGCATGTGTGTGATGCCTGCCTACTTATTTATCTAAATGTAGACGGACAGGCATACAGGTAAATGGGTGAACAGGTAGACAGGTAAACAGGTGGGCAAGCAAACAGGTAGAAGGAAATAAATTTAGAGAAGCAGACATGCAGATGGTATAAAAATTGATTAAATCGGTTATTTACACTCATGTTGTTAATTGCCACTCATGTTATTAATTTAATTTAATGAAACGGTTGATTCGTTAACGAATAAAAAATGGTTGCAAAAAACCATTTGTTGATTTAACACTTATCATTAATTTAAATCATTTTGTTTTTCGTTAATGAGAGTTAAGAATGACAGACGATGTAATGAACTAACACTAGAATGCATTGTTCACTAAATTTCACTAAATATTTATATTAATATGTAGAAAAAAGTGTAGAAGTTATTCCAGTAGATTAGATGTGATATCTATTATATATAAACCGGTGTATTGCAGTGTATTTGTTGATTTATATTTCGATTTGATTGTATATTTATTATACTATAATATTTTCTAGTATATTTATAGTATATTACAAAACATAGAACGATTGTAATACCAAATTTAGTTGCAAATACCCGTGTACTAAAATTCATTAATTTTCATTTCAAATTTTGCGCGATTAATTTGAATGCTTAAAGCAGCGCCATCACGTCGAGCGGAGGACCCTTTAAGTATTCCTTCTAAACGTAAAAATCGGGCGAGAAAAACATGATTTTGAGGTTATGTTAAAAAGTTGTCAAAGCCGTTTGCCATGCCGTTCTTGGCATAATTTTGTTTCGGGATTTAAATCGGCTTATAAACGATATATCATCGAAAATTTCAAGAAGTCAGAAGAACAATGCCTCCGAAGTCAAAAAAATCAAGTATTATATGGAATCAATGCGAAAAATGTGGAATCAGCATTGTATCAAAAGACACCGAAATTCATTCTAATAATTGCCCCCCAGACTTGGAAAAATGGAAACATCCTTTCATTTACGAAGGACTTTTATACAGTACCTTAGGAATTAAATCTAGTGATGAATATAATGGTTTATCTGTTAAACATATAAATGAGTACGTTTTTTTAAGTCAAAATGTTATGCAAATATGTGGATTCGTAATAGGGGAATATATTTTATTGCATATAACAGATACAAATTTATGGGTAGTAAAACGTGCATGGCCATGTTTTGAAAAGTCTTTGACTTCTGTTTTGTTGACAGAAAAAGGTAAGTTGAACAATGCATATTTTAATTATTAAACAAACGAAAAGTATTATTCTTTTATCTTACACATAAAAAGTCCATATTAAAACTGTTTATATTATAGGATTGCATACTTTATGCAGTCTTACCATGATCATTTCAATTCTTATATTTATTTATGCGAACAAGCTTTTGTATTCATATTGAACCTTCAATAGTATATTTTCATCTTGCTCTCACAATTTATACTCATAAAAACATAATAATCTACCAATATCATTATTTTTAGTGTATGAAAGATTAAATTTAAATAGTAAGCAGACAAACGTTATTGCTTCAAAAATCGTTGATACACCAGAACCTCTACAGTCCATTCACATACAATTTCTAAATAAACCTGAAGAAGGAATCATGGAAGATGTGAAGCTTTTCTTAGAAGGATACTATTTAGATAAAATTATTCAACCTGCAGATAAGCATTACATAGATTTTTTGGGAAAAACTTACAAATTTAAAATATTAAACATGAAGTCTTATAATAACACAGATAAATCATTAGAAGACAAATTTGCTAAACTACATATGCAAAATGATAAAGGTATTTTATTTAGTTTCATTTTGTTTATATATATATATATATATATATATATATATATCTGTATATCTGCCCTAAGGCAATATCACCCATTATTTTATATTATATATGTTTTATATATTATATATGTATTATATATATTTTATATTATATATGTGAACTTTTTTGTTCTACTTAATAGAATTGATAACATTTTTGTAAATGGCAAATAAAGTGTAATCTAAACATCATCTAAAATGGAAACTATTATTGTTGAGTATTGTTTAAAATTTCATAAATCGTTGTCATGAATATGAATTTATTGATTTTTACTTATTCCATTGGTTTTAAAAATTATATTATTACTTTATAATTAATTTTAACTTTTGTAATAGAGTTTATATAAAATACATTTCATATATCAATGATATTAAAATCTGCTGAGAAAAGTGCATTTGAAATGAAAAAATGTCTTATGATTTATGATTTAAAATCTTCAATTAGTTTTTAAATTTTGATTGAATTTTAAAAATATTTTGTTTGATAACTTGTAATCGTCAAGTTCATTTATTTTTAATTTGTGTTTTTTCACATTAGCTCCAGTTCTATATAGAGTAATTCCATCTACTCAGTGGGTCTATGAAGAAAACGATTCGGCAAATAAAAAATCCAAAACTTATCCTATATCAAGCATTGGTGCATTAGATGAAACCATCACAGAACTACGAGATATATTATCATTAGCTTTAGATCTAAGAAAAGTAGAATCCAATGTAAAGTATGCAAAATCTATATTTCTAATATTTTTGTTATATTTTTATCTTCATATTATTATATTTTTTATAGATTAAACACTATGAAAGGGGTTTTGCTATATGGGCCTACAGGATGTGGTAAAAGTTTATTAGCTAAATCAGTTGTTAATGATTTAGGTGTTCGATTGTTTGAAATTAATGGACCAGAAATATTCAGTAAATTTTTTGGTGAAACAGAATCTACATTGAAGACTTGTTTTAATGAAGCAAAACTCAATTCTCCTAGTATCATTTTAATTGAAGAGGTAAGATCTAAAATTGGTTAATTCATCTATTGAAGTTTACAATTCATAAGTGTTTTTTTTCTGTAATCTAGATTGACATACTATGTCCAGATAAGCCTGGAACTGAACAAGAGCGACGTGTGACTTCTGCACTTACTCAGTGTTTAGATGAGCTAGCAAATGATGATAATTGCCGAACAGCAGTTATAGCAGTAACAAATAGGCCTGAGAATTTACATGTGTCTGTGAGAAGAGCTGGTAGACTGGACAATGAGATTGAAGTATCTGTGCCAAATAACAAAGGTGTGTACTTAAAATATAGTTAATTAAATAAATGAAACAGCAATGCAATGATTGTTGTATATTTGTCTTTTTTCAACTACTTATTGAAAACTCATAATATAACATATAAGTAAATGATGATAAAACTAAAAAAATTATTATAATTTATATGATGAGAATATTTCTGTTAGTATTTTCTTGTTTTTTGATTTGATATTTTTTGAGAATCTAAAGTACATGGAGGATTGCCCTTGTACTGTGATATTCACTTAGAAAATAGAATACTATTTATACAACTTGCTTGAGCATATATATATATATATATATATATATATATATATATATATATATATATATATATATATTACATGAGAATTAATTCAATATACATCTCAGGTAGGATGGACATTTTACATAAGCTGATATCTCAAGTTCCAAACACATGTTCTTCTGAAACAATACTAAAAGTAGCAAATGCCGCACATGGTTGTACTGGTGCTGATTTGGCAGCAATGTGTGCTTTAGCAGGCTCACAAGCAGTAAAAAGAATTGCACTTCCAGAGGCTGATTGCACGGCAGTGGTATGATTTTTTTCTTATAATTAATTTGATTTTTTGCATCGATTTCAGTAGAAATTAGAGCGGAAACTTATTGATATATTCACTTTTCTTATAGCAAGAAATGATGAATACAAAGTAACTGTAAAGATGAGGAAGATTGATTTAAGAATATATGTTCTAATTGATTTATTTCCTAATATAATACTAGGATGGAGAAAGCGCTTTTATTAAACACATCTGGCATTTTTATTAAACATTTTTATTAGAGAAAATTATTGATAATAATTCAATAATTGATTTAGTATAATAAAATGCAAATGAAATGTATTTTAATAAATTATAGAAAAGAAAAATAATGGTAACTATTTATGGTAACCAGAACAACAAGGTTTGCTTATAAATTGTTAAAAATGATCAGTAACTTGATTCTTCAATTGTAGTTATCTTATATCATGATTGTAACACATCTTATAGCATTATTATCTACGATTTTTGAAAACCAATTATAATAAGATTGAAATCTAAGTTGTGTCTAATTATTGTTGTGATCCATATACTTATGAATCTGGTTAAAATTACGATGCTATCGATTTTAAATACTGGGATATAGTTGATTTTGTAATTGAGTGAATATGGGTTTGTTGCATATTTTTGAATCGAGTAGGAAGTAATCATGCTCAAGAATTTTTGTCATTTCTTATTAAAAAATGAATATTTTGTTTAGTAATTTTTTTTTACTAATTTGTTTTGACTGATATGCTTGCTTTGTGTATGTTCTCAATATCTCTTTTGACTTTATAGTTTTATACTACTTTTATATTAGTGTTTCAGAACTTTGTGTGTTCTTGTTGATATTATTTGAAGATTTGTTTACTTGTCATTTTTTTTTTGGGTATGACTGCTTAAACTTTTTATCCATTTATTCACTTTGTTAATTAATAATAATAAAAAATAAATAGTTGCAGATGTGACACTGAAATATTTATAGCATTATATGCAGTTTTAAAATGCTTTTGTGGGCAATAGCAATCTGCAATCCGTTCTTGAGCATTCATTACTTTCATTATTGTTCATTATGTGTCATTTTATAAAATCAGTCATGAGAATTTTTTTAATATAAAACTATCAAGAAATTTATCATGTTACAATACTGATTAAATACGCCAACTTTTGATGGAACTTGCCAACACTCTTTAGTGCAACTTTTTAGTGCAAAAAGTCTTATGTCTTGAAAACTGGTGGTAATTATTTAGTAAGTATTATTTTTGACTATGGTCCTGGAAATATTGTTCATGGTTGGGTCCCAAAATTTACATGAACAAAATTAATAAAAATTAACAACAATAACCGAGAAATGGTCATATTTTTACCAAAGCTGCAGGTTGAATCGAAGCTCATAATTTTCAAACTACATTAGATCATTTTTTTTCATGATAATTATAATCAATACAATGCTATCACCCCATTTCCGCTTGACTTTGAATTCTTGAACATCTATTTGCTAATTATTTACTGCTTTTCTAATAACTTTTCTTATACAGTGTGGTGATATAGTGTGCGATGATAAGGAAATTAAAATTTCCGACGAGGATTTATTACATGCGGCTGCAAATACAAAACCTAGCGCAATGCGGGAGATTGCTATCGAAATACCAGATGTAAAGTGGACGGATATAGGCGGACAACACGATCTGAAATTAAAACTCAAACAAGCAGTAGAATGGCCGTTGACTAATCCTGAATGTTTTATAAGGCTTGGCATCAAGCCCCCCAAGGGAGTGTTGATGTATGGACCGCCTGGATGCTCTAAGACAATGATCGCGAAAGCCTTGGCGAATGAGAGTGGATTAAATTTCTTGAGCGTTAAGGTAATTAACAACTGATAATAAAAATTGTAGTGTCACAGTAGTTTGTAAAGTTAGACGTGTCCTTATGGCATTGTGTAATAATTTGATGTTTCGAATAGTTATTTGCAGACTCATGGTATATAAGGTGCAGATATTCATGGTATAAATATTAATTCATGATAAGTATAAATGGTTGTATAATAAAAAGAACATTGGTCTAGAATGGCATCGTGTCTTAAGGCAAATTGCTGGGACTTTCTGTACCGAAAACTAAGTTGTTAAATAAAACGTTGCAAAACTTTGAAAAATTATATTTTTGAGAAATACTTGAAAAAATTGACTTTTTTGAAAAATCTGATTTTTTATTATATTTCGATTTTTTGTATTTTGATTTTTTTTTGACATTTTAAACATTTTTTAAGCAATTGCGCTGCATAGCTGCAGCTATCTTGATTTCGAGTCGAAACGTTTAACGCGTAAACATTGGTACGGAACCCATGTAAATTTACACAAAATTTATACTTATTATTATAATCTTTATAAAATAGCTCATAATACGATGCACATATGTCTAATGTTCATTTTTGGCCGCCAAATGGCGTTATTTAATTTACCGCTGTGTAAGTTAAAGTAATCGCAAAAAAATCGAAAATGAAAATGAAAGTATCTTTACGTTTTAGAGGTTTTTGAACATTTTGGCACACTTTAGTAAAAATCGATGTATTTGTGTGTGTGCGGATACAAAGTTTTGTCGACGATTTCGGGAACACGGTTCAACCGATTTCGATTATTCAAAAAACATTCAATGAAGATGAAGAATTGACTAAATCATGAACGCAGGTCTAGCGGTTTCGGAGATCCAGTGAAAAAAGTAAAAAAAATGCCATTTGGCAGTCAAAAATGATCATTAGACATATGCACATAAAATTTATCAGATATTTTATAGAGATTTAACAATAAGTATACATTTTGTTTACTTTCCTATAGGTTCCGTACCAATGTTCATCCTTTGAAAAAAAGCTCAGAATTTCCAAAATATTTCAAAATAAAAAAAACATTTTTTTCACTCTTTTTTTTAAAAAAAGTAAATTTTTGTCAAAATTTTATAGTTTCTCAAAAATCTAATTTTTTCAAAAAAAAATTTTGTCAAAAATGTTTAAAAATAATTGTTGGTACGGGAAGTTCCAGCAATTTGCCTTAAGGCACGATGCCATGCGCCCCACTAGTTTTATAATGATTCGAATTTCTGTATATTACATCATAATTTTTTTATAATATTTTAAATAGACACAATTCACTCAACTTCTACAATTTAATTCACAAGATTTTTATAAAATCACTTATTCTGTGTACTTTATTTATGGGATTAATTAAAATGAGAAATGGGTAAATAAATAAGGGAAAAATTAAATTAAATAAAAAATAAAAATAAACATATTTCATTTAAACTTTAAGTCTTTAGGCCTGTAGTTTATACCAATATTACCTAATTATATATTACATATAATTGACAATCCAGGATTAAATTCAATTATCGAACATTATGTGATATGAATATATGATGTAGTTAAGAGACTGTATCTATGTGAATTAATCAAGCATATAAGTGTGTAATAAATCTTATTTGATTTTATATTATATATTATCATATTTATAAATCTTTCCCCCTTTAGGGCCCTGAGTTGTTTTCACAGTATGTTGGCGAATCTGAACGTGCGGTACGTGAATTGTTTAGGAAAGCTAGACGAGTTGCTCCTTCTGTAGTATTTTTCGATGAGATAGATGCTTTGGGAACCAGCAGATCTAATAATCAAGGTGATCATTTTATCTTTTTGTCATTCATTCTTTCAGATATTATTTTTGGATAATATGTTATTTTGAAAGTCAATGATTATTGCTCTGTTGCAGGTTCTTCTGGTAGTAATGTTCAGGAACGCGTCTTAGCACAATTGCTCACTGAATTAGATGGAGTCGCTCCTCTTGAAAATGTGACTGTTGTTGCTGCTACGAATCGACCGGACAGGTTAGATAGAGCTCTACTTAGACCAGGTGATATATTTTTATATGAACTGTATTAATTGAGAACAGAATTAGGATCTAAAATATGTGATCATAAATTTATAGGCAGATTAGATAGGATTGTTTATGTTCCACTTCCTGATTTGCAAACAAGGAAAGAGATTTTTAAAGTTATTACATCCCGCATGCCTGTGTCTTCTGAAATATCTGTTGATCGGCTGGCAGAAAAAACTGATGGTTATTCCGGGGCTGAAATTAAAGCTGTTTGTCATGAGGCTGCTATGTTTGCTTTAGAAGAAGATATGTATGCTAAACAGGTATTTATAGCCTTTTTATTTATATCATATGTTTTTGTTTCCATATGAAGAAAACGGTACAATTTGGCCTTATAAGACAATACATTTTGCACATCTATATTCACTTTTTTCGCATATAAACTTATTTTTTTCCACATGTAAGCTTTTTTTTATTTTCTTGTGGTGGACAATTTTTCATTTGTAATGCAAAGATTTGATGTTTGCTATTTACAAGCTATTTTAACTACTGTTATCAACAATAATGTATTGAGTATAGAGAATTTACTTTATTTGTACTTAAAAATATATCAAGAGAACCAATTAAAAAAACTGAAATAATTGCAGAGGCGAGCAATTTATTTCTAACTTTTGACAGATTCTTGTTTGTATATCTGCAGACATAAATTATTTTTAATAGAATATAAAGATTTATTTTTATAAATTTATATATATATATATATATATATATATAGTATATATTTGGTATATTTTTATACTTTTAGATAACTCTTAAACATTTCGAAATGGCCCTTATTCGAGTACAACCAAGAACGCCAAAAGATCTGTTGGATCTTTATGAAAGCTATGCAAATGAAGCATGATAATACAATGTACAAATTAAAATTTTAAATATATTTTTTACTTGATTGAAGAATTAAATTTTATTATTTTAATAAATATTAAGACATTTGCATATATTAACTTCCCGTAGAGTAAGTTATTGTAATGGGCCGAAAATCGAAATTGAAAATTTTTACATTTTTCGACGTGTTGAAGGTTTCTGAACATTTTGGCATACTTCAGAAAAAATGGATGTGTGTGTGTGTGTGTATGTATGTATGTATGGATACAAACTTCCAGTCACGTTTTCGGGCGCACGGATTAACCGATTTGAATGGTTCAAAAAACATTCGATTCCTATTCATAGGGAGATGAGCTGATTAGTTTTTGGCAAAGGCAGGTCCAGCAGTAACGGAGATAAAGAGCAAAGAGTGCCGAAAATAGAAATCGAGCCGAAAGTTTTTGAGAGAACGGAGTATCCGATTTGAATGATCTAAAAAACAATCAATTAGTAATGATTGGGAGAAGTGTTTACTAGTTTTTGGCAAAGGCAGACCCAGCCATTTCGAAGATACGGAGCTAAACATGTAAAAATGGCAGTTTTTGAGAGAACTAAGCGTCCGATTTAAATGATTCAAAGAACTTTCTGCTTGTCTTTTTGTTTCAACTTTTTTTTTTTTTTTAATTTTTGTATATCGAAAATAATTCAGATTTTATTTTTAATTCTGACTATAGTTCTAATATACTTTACAAATAATTTCAACTTTGCAATTCAGTTTATATAATTCTTATAAATATTAGACAATGTTACAATATTTATAATAAGCTATTTGAAAACATTCAGTATTCCTCGAACATTTCGTAACGGTACGGGAAGTTCTAGCAATTTGCCTTAAGGCACGATGCCACCCACCCCACTATTTTATTTTATTAATGATAATTTTACAACAGATTTAAGTCATATGGTTACATGTTGAACTTTTTATTAATTTATATAAGAAAATTAAATAATATAACAAGCAAATATTTTTCTCATGAATTATATTGAATTATAACTTGAAAAATATTTTTGTTGCTACAATATCAAAAATATTATTAAATTGCATAGTTTCAAAGCGAGTACAAATGTTTGAGAGTTCCTTTCTGATGTTTTTGATTAAATTGGTGCAAATTCGTATTTATCTTATAATTTTGGCCTTATTTTAAATTTTTAATAGTAAAATCGGTGCTAATTTGAATTATTAAATAAATCTTAATCTATTTTAATATAATCTTACGTGCGTTCTAGATATTTAGTAAGTCGACACCCATTTTGAACTATGTAAGGTTATGAAATTTATAAAGTCATAAATTTCTAAAAATTGCTTTCAAACTAGAATTTGTTTATTTTCTTCTCTATTTCATCCAAAGATAGTGTAATTCTTACAAATTTGTAGAAAAGACGATTCAATATATAAACTTTAGTGGTGCATGACGTTGTGCCTTAAGACAAATTGCTGGAACTTCCCCTACCGTGATGAAACATTTGAAGAATAATTAAATGTTTGCAAATAAATTATTATAGCTTTCATTATTCTTATTTTATAGACAAAATATAAGAGCTTATGAATTGCACGACGACGTTAAGATACGTTTACAGAAAAGTAAATATACAAAACTCAATTAATCGGAATTTATAAGAATTATATGAACTAGTTGCAATGTTAAAATAATTTATTTGAAGTATATAAGTGAGCTTTATAACTTTAGCTAGAATTAGAATTGAAATCCGAATTATTTTTGATATTAAAAAAGTTTTAGAAAAATTAAAAAAAATCTCTAAAAGTAATCGTTTCGTCAACACAAGCAGAAAGATTTTTGCTTAACTATTGTTTTTTGAATCATTCAAATCGGATGCTTAGTTTTCTCAAAAACTGCCACTTTTTGCACATTTAGCTCCGTATCTGCAAAATGGCTGGACCTGCTACACACAAATCCGTTTTTTCTACGGTATGCCAAAATGTTCAGAAACTTTCAAAACGTGAAAATATGCAAAAAAATCGATTTCGATTTTTCGAAAATTATAATAACACCCTACGGGAAGTTAAAAATTAGAATTTGAGTTTAGAAATATTTTTTGAATCATTCAATTCGGATTCTCCGTTTTCTCAAAAACTTAATTGCCATTTTCTGCACTCTTTGCTCCGTATCTCCAAAATAGCTGGACCAACCTTTGCCAAAAACTAATCAGCAGGTCTCCTTATCAACAGGATCAAATCGAATGCTTTTTGAATAATTCAAATCGGTTGTTCCGTATGCATGAAAACGTGAACAAAAAATTGTATCCACACATACATACGCACACAAATACATCAATTTTTCTAAGTTATGTCAAAATGTTCAGAAGACCTTGAAACGTGAAGATATGCAAAACTTTTCATTTTCGATTTTTGCGATTACCATAATAAAATATCATATCTGCCTATACAATTTTACGTCTCGGATTTGAAAATAGAATAGTGCTAGATGCGATCGTAATCGAATAATATATATAGAACTAAACTTTGGTAAATTCTAAACACAGTTGTTCCGTAAGTATTTCTAAATGGAAACACCTTGCAGTGACAGAATATGAGAAAATGGAACTATCCCATTAGAAACGGTATAATCACCCACAACAATCATTATGGCGTTTGAAAGTTGCACAGCAAAGTGTTTCCTAATGAGAATTGCTTTAAAACTATTTGCCGTGCTACGTGAATTCAATAAACAATGTTATCTCGTTAATATGCAAATAGTGTGAACGAAATATTACCGGCGCTCCAGCTAAATCCGATTAGGGCAATAATTAAACATTAACTAACTTCTGATACTCGAAAATAGTCATTTTCAGGTATAAATGTAATTCAAATTCCTGAAATGATGAAATCTATCCAAAAAATATATCATATATAAGCAAAATCAACTTAGAAACTACCTTTTTTTTAATTTCTCGCAAAATGCAATCTGTTTCACTGAAAGACATTTAGTAATTGTTTTGTTAGTTCTATTTACTAATTATGGATATTAGAATGCAACCTAATGGTTTTCTTTCTAAACGTTATTATATTTTTACATAGGATAGAGCGGGGCTTAAAGATCCCAACCAATATCTCGAAAACAAGTGAAGTTCAGAATTTTTTAACAAAAATATTTGAAAGTAGAGGGAAAAAGATGTATAGCAAAGCAAGCCATTGATTCTTACGACGTTGCTGTCGGAAGAAAAAGGGCAATGCTTGAAAATCTTTAACAAAACTATTTTATCTTGTTTGTTAGTTTTTTGGTTGTGAGCACTGTTGTCTAGTTCACGAGACCTTAATATAGTTTTTAAGTATAAGTTATTTAATTATTTTATAAGATGTTTTATTATTTTCAAGTTCGATTCAACAGTTTATTTTATATGAAAGCTTACATGTTAGTGCGGTGAAAAAAACCATCTGAAGGTGTACAATAAAAAATAGTAAATAAACTAGTGGTGCATGGCAAGGTACGTTAAGGTAAATTGCTCAAACTTTCCGTACCGAAAAATGAAATTTTTAACAAACTTTTAGAATTTTTTGAAAACATTGAAATAAAATAAGATTTTGTAGACAAAAATTTGTATCTGCGCACACACACATACGCAGATACTCACATATATCCATTTTTTCCAAGGTATGCCAAAATGTTCAGAAACCTTTGAAACATAAAGATATATAATAATTTTCATTTTCGATTATTTTGCGATTACTATAAATTACCCTACGGGAAGTTAAAAAGTAAATTTAGTTAAAAAACAAATCTACACGAGGAAAATTAATTTAATAGTTATTCCAACCCTGTTGATGAATGGTATCTGGCGAAATACCAGATCAAGGTGATATACGATGTAATCTTTGTAAAATTCGTGCCCATAAATTTTTTATTTTGCGTCAATTGTATAATGTAGCTACTGTGTAAAATCTCTTTCAAATTTAAAATAAGACATTGGATCTGTTTGCTGCTGACATTTTATTCCGCCTATGGGGTAAAAAGAACCAGGTGACAAATTTTTGAAAAATAGCAAAAATACACTTTTCTATAATGTTGATTCAGCTGGGAGTTTTACTGAACATAGGCAGATAGTTGTTCGTTTGATATTTGGTATTTATTTTGATATATAATTAGTTTGTATTTCATAGTATAATTGCTCAAAGTCAAATTAGACCTTTGTGCCCCGCTTTATCTTACTTCAAATTAAAATTTATAACTGCTCGAAGAAGTTTATGTACTACCTTTACGTTTTTCAACGTTTTAAGTCATTTTGAATCGTTTGATAATAAATTTGAAAATAGTTTGTATGTGAGCCAATATTACTACGATGAAAAAAATCAAATCTATTTTGAAAATTCAAAAAAATGTTAGTAAAATATCAGTTGTAATTCGTGCTGATTAGTTTTAAGTAAAGATCGTCCACATATACGGATTTTTTTTATTATTTATCAAAACTTGCTAAATTCCAATTATTATCGATTAAGTATATTATTTATACTTATCGCAAAATTTTTGCATCATCTTGTTTTCACAATGTCATTTACACCTAGTTTTCACAGCAATGTTCAGGAGATGTATTTTTTAGTGAACATAATTTTCTTTGATCTACATTTTGAAGTGAAAATGGTTATTATTACTGCTTGATATCAGTTTGCACACAACGTGAGAATAGAACTGGGTACTTTGTGTTGGCCGTTAATATTTTTTAACAAAGTTTTTATCACAGTTAACCACGTACTTAGAGTAAACATTAGAAACTAAAAATAATTAATCAGTGGAAATTATACTGTAAAAAGAGCTTCATTAATTATTAAAAATGTATCCTTTGTATACATTTTTGTGTTCATTATATTCAATTATTACAGTCGTTATTTTTTATTTCGTCTGTTGAAATCGTGAACAATACCGGAAAAGTGATTGTCTGCAATTAGATGTGCCTGTGGCAGTACTGGAGGTAATTAATATTATTGTATTGCTGTGATCATTATCATCATCGCCGCTCTTTGTCGATGAGAAAGTCAAAGAAAA